AGAGAGAGAGAGAGATTATAAGAAAAATTCTAAGATAGACATTTTTCTTTTATTTACACAAACAAGAATTGCTTCTATTTTTATGATGTCGACGTTTAAAACTAGCAGACACCTTATTTTATAAATATTAAGAGTTATTCGGATAGAGTTCGGAAAAGTTCGTTCCAAATTTTTTAGCTCAAAATAGTATATTGTATATTTAAAAAATTAGCGATTATACCATATTCGATAGAACAAAGTTTCAGTTTTAAGAATCTCATTTCATAATTGCGGTACGATGATTTTTTAACGAAGTTATAAGCAAAAATCAAAATATTTTTGTACCTAATTCGCGAATAATTCAGAAACAAAAAATTGTAAGAACATTTTTAAAAAACGATTTTGTCGGGAAAATTTCAGATTTTCGCAATAGTTAAAAATTTTTGCAAATTTTTTTAGCACGTGGAAGACCCATAAACTGAAAAGATAATTTTTTATTTTTTTCAGCTTTAGTTTTTTTTATATGTAAAAATTACCAAATTCGCAGAAATTCAAGAAATATAGTAACCCTTTGAAAGTAGAGATTTCAAGCTTTAAAGCCCTTTTTTTAAATTAATATTTCTTTTATTTTTTACGAAGATATACATACAATGTTAAGCTAGAAAATTGAAATGAACTTTCCGAACAATTTAATAAAATCAATAAAATGTTTTTGTTAATTAATCTCGACCATATTCATTATTATATTATAATGACTTTCAGTAATTCTTTACTTTATCAATTATATACGAGGACAAATCAATAAGTACTTATATTTGAGGCAACATTGCTGATGCAAGTTGGCATTATACAATCGTGTCCTACTATCTTTCAACGATGCCATACAAAATTTCAAAGTGATTCATTTTGATAGTTTCGATTTGACAGTAATTCGTAGTGAGTGTATTTGATGTTTTTGGATTTAATGGAAAAAGAGTACACTGAACCAAAACTGTATACGTAAATACAATCAAATGTTCATTGAATTAATTAAAATTGATTTAATGAATCTTTATAATAATTTAGATTATAAAACTATTACTAGAATTCATTGCAAAAATAAATATTTAATTATATTAATGAATCCAGTTATTATATTAATAAATTAACTTCATTAAGTTGGACATTAAGTTTGACATTAATTAATGATATCATTCGTTGGACCAAAATTTTTTTCAGTATAATATCGATCCGTGATTCGCTTTTTATTTTTGAATGGCAAAACGTGCGAAGAAATAAAAATAAAGTTAAATGCCGTTTATGGGAATTCTTCACCATCTTTGACAACCGTCAGATATTGATTCAATGAATTTAAACGTGGTCCTTTATCTGTTTTTGATGAGGAGCGCCCAGGCCGGCCGGCTGGCCGGCAAACGTGATTAAGTTTGCGTTTACGTGAAAGTGCGTGAAGTAGTAGAGGCTGTAGACGTATCGTACGGAACAGCATTCAATATTTTGCACGATAACTTGGGAACGAAAAAGCTGTCGGCCCGATGGGTGCCGCTATTGCTCACGATGAATAACAAACAAATGGATGCGGCTATCAATTCCGAAGCAGTGTTTGGAGCTATTCAAATACAATCTGCAGGAATTTTTTGCGTCGAGTTATAACCGTTAATAAAACATGGATTCATCATACACCGGAGATCAAGGAACAGTCAAAACAATAGACTTCAAACGTGCAAACGTGCTCCGAAGAAGGCCAAGACGGTCGAAAAGGTGATGGCCACTGTTTTTTGGAATGCGCAAGGCGTGATCTTTACCGACTATTTGGAAAAAAAAGACTATCACGGGGTAATACTATGCTGATTTATTGGGCCGATTCGATGTTGAATTGAAAAAAAAAAAACAGCCCTATTTGGCAAAAAAAGTGTTGTTCCACCACTTATAAGCACCGGCTCAGTCCACTGCAGTCGTCACAGTCGAATTAGTCAAATTGCGCTATGAATTGCTGCCGCATCCACTGTATTCTCCGGATTTGGTCCCCTGTGACTTCTTCCTGTTTTCAAACTCGAAAAAATGACTTAGTGGAAAGAGATTCACGTTGAATGAGAAAGTCATCACTGATAAACATAGACAGAGTTCGACAAATCGTTTTTTTTTTTTTCAGAGAAGTTAAAAAAGTAGCGAGGGCGTTGGGAAAAATATATCCTCTAAAAGGAGATTACGTTGAAAAATAAAAAAAATTTTGTGAAAAACTTGCGTCTTCATTACTAACACGGGTATTTGTTGATTTGCCCTCGTAACGTTACTATCAATTTTATTTTTAAACTTAATTATAACAAGACGCATTGTGTGTTTTTATAAAAATTTATGTTGATAACTATAAACACTTAAATAAAATATATTTTTTGAAAAAATTTAAGATAAAATGTTTTTGACTTAAAACTTTTTGAGTCTTGTTTGTTAGTTGGTTTTTTAATTTTTTAAATAAAATCAAAGGTAATAACACAAGAATTGAATATAAGTCAAAATTGATGTACTGACTGCTTCCTGTTTCGTCGGCGATTTTCTTTTCTCAAGAACTCTATCTTCTGTTTTTTTATTCACTTGAAATTGACGTATATGTAACTTTTGTTCACACTTGCAAATACGAGCGAAACGTCGCTTTAGATTACGAATTCGTATAGCGCGCGTTCGCGAAATTTGAAGACTTTTAATTCACCAAAGAGAAGAATCAATTTCAATTGAAGAGGTCGGCGACTGAACTCGAAGCTGGCGGATCGCGACTGCGGCTTTTATATTCGGTATCAAAGGGTGGTGCATGGTGGGGTGGATGAGTAACGTCACCCTCCGGATGCGCACCTGCGTCGGTGACGGCAAACTTCGTGTCAGTGAACGAAAACAATTGTTGTAGGTGGGATTTAATTGAAAATTTACAACACGGGACACCACGGGATTTTTACAGTAACCCCAGTTAGATACCAAAAGCGTGTTTAATGTAGATGAATCAGGCATTATTTAAAAATGAATTACATAGCTATTTCAATGATATACAGTATCGAGCAGTTGAAAAAATTGTAATTATAAAAAAGATTTCCTTAGAACTACTTTAATCCAAATTTAAATTTACCTCTCATGTACTTCAAGAATTATTTAATTCACATACGTTTAATATATTATATTTTCTATATTTAGTCTATGTAGTCTATCTAGTGCATTTAGAATTCTTTAGGCGTTTGCTTTATTCACGTTTATACAAATGAAAGCACACTGCGAAATGTAGAGATTCATACAAGTGTAGATCTTTGGTGGACATGCACATTTATAACGATGTAACTTATTTACAAGGTTAGGAAGTAACGCATTACTTGTAACGCCGATTTTTTTTTCTCCGATAGTTCACTGCATTCACTATCAGTATTGAAATCTGCAATTCACATTATATATATATTATGGATTTTCAGTACTAAAAGTGAATCTTGAAATATATTTTTAACAATGATATTAATGTTCAGAAACAATGTTTAATTTTAATTCGATTGAGTTTAGCTCTTTCATATGCGATATTGATAAAATTAGGATTATTCGACGTGTTTTGCATAAAACGATTGAATATTAAACAAGCTTTGTTCTACGAACTGAGTTATTAATCAGTTCACGATTAGGAAACTTGTCATATTGATGAAAAGCAGCGATATAAGCATATATATGTACTGTTCAAGCGAATTTGATATAAACTTCGTTCAAATATCCCAAGATAAGATACAAAAGAATCATATTAGATATTATTAATAGATTATTTGACTGAATTTATTTTTAAAAAAGAAAACTTATTTTAACGAACGAATTAAAAAGTTTTTTTTTAAAACAATTGGTAAATTATATCCTATATAACATTAATAAGTTTTTAAAAATAAAAACATATTCTTTGTTTTAATTCAATAAAACTATAAATTTTCTTATATAATTTAAATTATAATAATATTATATGTTAAGACACACATATTTCTAGAGAATTCCGATCTTTCTTGTATCTAGCGTTATTATTAATTTAACTAGTTGAGATATCATTCCGGCGCCATGTGGACGCAGAACTTATTATAGGTATATGTAATTATATTATATATCTGGAGGAAAACTACAATTACTACAGTGAAATATTTCTTCCAAAGCATATAAATAAAATCTTTCGCTGAAATATTGCCGCGTATTCTACTTTTTCATGGAAACGAGAATGTGTTCTGAGAGATATTTTTTGTAATCGTGTTTTTTAAATTATCCAAATAGACTAAAGAATTTTACATGACGCTCGAGAAAAGCGCAACAAATTCCCGGATGGTTCTGGATCAGCTGGACTTCCGTAAGTGGTATAGATATTGAACCGTACGTCAAATACATCAGTGTTGCGAAAGCGTTAGGTCCTTCATACATTCCTAGTCTGACTATAAGAGCGGACAACGCACATGACATATATAGATCGTGTCAATAAAGGCGCAATGCTACAATTAGCATTTCCACTAAAATCCTATTTAATTACATTTGCAATTTGCATCTGTAAATAAAGATTCGAAATTGTGATCAGTTCGAAGAATAAGAAAGACTTTCAACGTCAGCGTAGTTTCTCATACGATAATGGCTACGTTCGGCAGAGAAAGCTTAGAACAGTGACCGCGCTTAATGAGTCCTTAATATGAGTTAATAATAGTCCTTAATAATACACTTGACTTTAGTTCTTTGCTGGATTTAAGTGTAGGAATTAGTCATATTAAAGAATCTCATGTGCTCTCTTATCAGTTTTTTTTTTGCTGAACGCAATTAATTCCAAATATTTTGATCGCATATAAAGAATAAGCATCTACAATGAGATTTTAAAGGCCTCAGTATAAAGATGACTGTAACCGATTTGTAATTATAGATCAATGCGTTTTTGCATAACCATATGTATGTCGATACGGCATATGTAGTTACGATATGACATTTCTTGTTTAAAATTGTAACACATTTGGGATTTACAGTTTTATGTACTGATTTATTTCTTATACATGTAGTTGTGGAAATAATATAATACATAAATCAGACTGATACATTTTTGGCTTATCAAAGTGTGAAATTTATTTTAAATGTACTGAGAAGTTCAATATCACCGCGTAAGAATATCAACAGCGTTGTATCACTCGCTCTGTTTCATCATGGAAGAGAGTGATCTAGTGTGCGAGTCATAAAACCTAAGTCATCAGAAAGAAGAAGAGCACAAGTTGCTTTCGCTGTCAATTACTTTCGCGGCTCTTCACATAGAAGGCAATATAAACGGACGATCCACTGATGGTTTAATCTAACGCGCATGAAGAATAATTACTGAATTACGCATTTGAATGTTGGGCAGCTTACGTCACTTCACAATTCACGTTTAATATAATTTTACGGCGCCAGTTTTAATGGTGCGAAGTTCGTTGGATCTATATAACTCTTTCCTTTGTAAGCGACACATGAATTATCTCTGCCAAATTATTAATTTCCCCTTGTTGCGATTTCTATTAAATAATCTGTAATAGAATATTTAATAGATTAAGCGCAGAAATTACTACGAGGGGAAATAAGAAAATAGAGTAAATTAATTTATTTACTTTGTATATAACAATATATGATAACAAAATGTATAACATCATTTTTTAATATAATCTTTCAGTTTTACAATGTATTTTATGTAATGGTCCATACTCCACAATTTTCTGATTCTGTGTGCGAAAGTTCCTAGCTGTCCTCAAATCCGTGTATCGATTCTAAACGCTACAGTTGGTATTCATAGTCAGTTTATGAATTTAAGACTAATTTAAATTGATTTAAAAATGCAGTCTTAAAATATCATAGACAATTGTAAAAAGCTGTATTAGCATCTTAACCCTTAGTTCCGACTCCAGGGTCGTTTACGACCCTGCCGAATTTTCAAAGTGCTGTAGTTTTTGAAAACGGGTAGGGAGCGCGCATAAAAAAAAATATTAAAACTTTTTTTTTTTCAAAATATTACTATTGGGGCTTCAACTTGAAGGTTGAAGGAAGTTACTTGAATTTTTTCAGATTTTTTGAAGCGTTTTTATTGTCCCAAATAACGCTCGGACGCGAACGACCCTGGAGTCGGAATTAAAGGTGCCGAAAAGGACGGTCGGAACTAAGGGTTAACACACTTAAGACGATCTTGAGATAAGAACCGACTATAAATACCGAACCAAGACAGCTGAAATTTCTGCCATATCTTGCTTATAATTCTGACCTTATTATTATTTTACTCTAAGATTTCTTCTCGTATGTCTTGACCAAAGCGTTTTCGTTTTCTTTAAATGTTAAAAGTATTTAAAAAAGTAAAGAAAAGAGGAAAATTAATTTGAGAATATTTATATATTATTAATTAAATTCTTAAGAAAAAAAAATAAAAAAATATGTACAATAACAAGCATAACTCTTTTATAATTCACCAAGCTTCTTATAACCTACCTGAATCTATGAACAAAATTCCTACTCGCATATTAAAACTCGATGAATCTCGATAAGAATTCCTAAGGAGTCAAGAAGTAATACGCCAACTCATTAGACCTGCAAAAAATTTTCCACTTACTAGGAGCATATCAATCCCTCGAATACTCGATGCAACATTTCGTGATAATGAGATTTCTTCGATTTAGTATTTAAAAGGTAATTCAGCATACAAGGTCACAGTAGGAACACACCCATAGAAATATGTATTCTAATAACGCCGCGCGTTTATACGACCGTTACAATATGCAGTCCCTTATTCATTTGATGTGAACAGTGGCTTTAATTCAGAAAGATTGAGATAACAAAAAAATTCGTATTATTATTATCTCGTTCTTCGATCGATCGGAGTATTCATAAGAATAATTAAATTTTATTGCTGATTATTAGAAAGTTAGAGTATATAGTCGAATTACAACTAATTAACATTTAATTCCATGTAGTTTACAAAGATCATAACTATGAAATATTTGCGCAGAAAGATATGTTCCTAAAATTAATTTTCACATTCACTATTCGTGTTTAATTTTATTTATAAATTCAGGCACATCTCTTAGATAAAGATGATTAATAATCTTTTTTTCCAACAATAATTTTTTTTAATATTATATAGTATAATATAATATAACATCCACATATCAGTGAGAGATATACAAATTGAACAGTATAGATATTTCTCGTGTTGGCGTAAAAAAGCGTTAATACTAAATACGGTAAATACGGCGTATACTGTACTTAGACAAGATATATTCCCGACAGGAAAATGTTCGTGGATAATTTGCGCACGTTGATGGAACAGGATTTCGAAAATGTAACAACGATACACACGAGCCATGTATGTACGTCGGACGTCATATGTCGCATATAAGCAAGTACGGACCATTTCACAGCGGCATTCGATATACGCTTGTAATAAAAAAAAGAGGAACAAACGACCCGCGTAAAATGTATATCGACGTGCCGATTAGAGGCAGCCACCGTAGGTGGTGGGCTCTGCGTCGCCATTAATTTTCTATTTTCGTAATCATGCTGATTTAAACTTCTTCATACGTGGTAAACTTAACTTCACGACATCGCGTATGTTACAGCCCGTCTCTCGCAAATGTGCTGTCAAAAAGCCTTGGACGCGGACATGACTTCGTTAGTAGAACTAACGATTTGCAAAAACGCTTCGATAAACTGTGCAAAGCCGAAAGGGATTTTGTGTTTTTGTAAAGTCTCATATCTCGTCCTTGTGAGAAAAAATATTAGGTGGATGGAAACTTTCTTCTTCTTCCTGCTTATATATAAATAATAAAATAGCTTTAAACTTGCAGAAAAAAGAATCTAGGAAATATAAAAATATTTTGAATAATTTTAGAAATTTATGAAAAATAATTTTCAGCAAACACATTAATAATGTCTATCATAGACATTATTAAGAATGTATTTCACTTATTCTTACAAATATGTTAATATTTGTACTTTAAACAAACTCTATATACATATAAAAAATATATATATATAAATTGTGTTTAAAATATTCATTTTTATTGAACACAATTTTATATCTTATTAATTTTATTTGTTATTATTTTTATTGTTATAAATTAAAAATTAAAAAGTAATAAAAGGTTTACATTTTTTAAATAAGTATTCAAAATATATTATATGCAAAGTTTCACTGCGAATTACTGATTAATTACAAATAAAAGATATACGTCTAGAACAAATAAATATTTTGTTTATTTACTGGACAACTAATTCATGCATTGCAACGTAAATAATCTGGAACACATAATGTACTTATGTTAAATAGTTGAAATTTTTGTCATCCATTTTATAATACATTTCTATACATTTTTATTAGAGTATAGATTAAAAAATACTATTATTTATTAAAATAACTTATAATTTATTTAGATAGTAAACCGTCATCAAATTTGTCGTTTTTTTAAATATGATTTAGAATAATTTGTAATTTTTTCATAATTTTGTTGTCGTATATGTACAAATGAATTTTATTGAAAATGTCACAAAACATTCTTAATCTTACACAGCTCTTTAGTTAGCATATTATATACTTTAATATTGTAATATTTCAATAAGAAAACGAATTACGCAAATCATGTATAAAAACGTACAGTTTACTATTGATTACAGGGAATATATGTGTATACTATTTCGATCAAGTTTTTTTCGATTTAGCAAGAATGTATTTGTTGTAATTCGATAACGTGTTACAGGAGATAGTTTACTGATATTGTATTCGTATTTTCGACGAACGATTTTGAGAAATATAAAACCATTCATATGTATGTGCGTGTGTATGTGTGATTGGTTTTATATTTCTCAAAATTGTTAGCCATAAATACAAATGAATATATATGGGGGGCATTCAATATGAAAGTGAACCACCTATTTTCAGAAATATTTCGGATTTTGACGAAATTTATTAATGTGATGAGTTGAGGATACAATCTGTTGTGTAAAGTCTTAAACTTTTAGTTCTGCTATAATAGAATGTTTACGTAATATTCGGATTCGTAGTTTATGGGGTATTGATAATCCTGGCTATGCATAAAATATGTATCTCTGTATTGTCATTTGATTTAACAAATCTTAATACAAGTGTTAGAATATTGGAGTTTTACCTTTCAAAAAAATCCATAACGTTTCTCAGAATACGAACTCATCGGCCATCAATATCACATAGCTGAAGTATATTGTACATCAATACACCTGATTGATAAATTCTACAGAAAACCATATTGCCTCGAGGTGATTTATTTCAACCACTGCACGACTTTACGGCGAAAGTGTCTAGACCATACGCTCGAATACTAATTTATTTATACATTCAAATTTATAATATTACATTGTAATACATGGTTGAATCATCTAAAAAATATATCTTCTGTTTCGTCATCAATTCCGCAGCGATATATAACGGTATTGAAGCACTCACACGATTCAAATTCCCGCAAAAGTTCCTCTCCTAAGAATTTTCTACGTAGTATATTAATATTTCCTATTTTCAAAGCACACTGAAAGAAATAGCTTGTGATATTCGAAATAATCCACCGGATATAAAAATTTTAATTATAAAATTTATAAAGCAATAACGGTCCGTATTATTTTACAGATTCTTATATACATCTTTTCAAAATTTTTTTTAAATACATTTCAAATTCGTTTCTCATTACGTTTCAATATCGACAAAAAAATTACCCTGTTTCAGTATATTCAATATTTTCATAGGTTCTTTTTTATACAAAAATTTGCACCATAATTTTCTTGAGTACTCGTCATCTTTGGCAGGTACAGTAACGATTAAGTTTTTCCCCAAAAAGAACTGAAAAAATTGAGAAATCGTCTCAATCGAATCTGTTAACTTTTTCATCTCACGTCTTTTTCAGAAACTTGTTGATATTTTTTGAAATTTCAGACAAAAACATCTATCTTCATTTCTTATTATTCCTTATATAGTCCTTAATATTTTTTATCGTTGTTATCTAAAGATGTAATAAATATTATGAATCAAGTTAGCAATTAGATTCTATATTAAAGAGAATTGAAATGTATTATACATATATAAAACTAATGAATTTTACAATAGATTTTATTAATTTTGAATTGCGTTCCTATATCATTCCTGCGATTCCAAAAGTCGTAATGCTTTCATATAGGATTCGATGTGATAAAAAGCACGACTCTGAATGCGATGGCAATTTCAAGGAAGAGAAGAATATATGTTGATAACTGAATAACATATATGAGAAAAAAGGAGAGAGTTAGCTCGTTTTTGCTAAATAAAACTGGCAAATATGATTGAAAAAGTTCCAAGTGTATTTGAGATCTCTATATAATTGCTAATAACTATATTTAGTAAAAACGGGCTAAATTTACAAAAAAATACATCTTCCTAATTCCATTTTTATACAGACACGTATTATAAGACAAACTTTACAGAATTAATTTGTTTGAATATTCAGTTTCAAGTTCCTTAAAAGTCAGCAATTTTCATTTCTCTATTAGAAAGATACGAAATTCAAAATTTCATATTCTCGAGAACTCATTAATAATCTTATATTAATTTTTCCCTGATTTAATTCTCATGTTCGTTTCAAGAATAGACATATTAGTTATTTTAATAAATTTTAGTAATCATATAACCTTCTCATTAATCCACAACTGCATAGATTCATGTCAAAACGCAATAGTTTACGAGATATTAATTGTTTATGCTTTTCCGAGCAGTATGTACCCTATTCGTGGAAGAGTTTTGCAAGAACTCTGTGTGGTCTCGAGCGTATATGGTGCGAGATCAGTATACACGCTGAAGATTCCCTCGTCAAATCCTGTGGTTTTTTATCCTTTTTTTTCCATTTTTTTCTGAAATAAATAAAATTATTAATAAACATATTAAACCAATTATATAATTTATTTATATATTTTTGTATTTACAATTATATATAAAAAAATATGTTTTCCGAGTATGTATAATATACGTATGTAATATATTTAGCAGAACTTATAACGATAAATTACGCTGTGTATTAAAAGTTAGAAATTATAAGTTTAATGATTTCATTGTCAAAGGCGGAAAACTTATACTATCTTAGAAAAACTCTGTAAATTTGAATCCTTTATAACGGCGACTGAAAAGTAAGTGTATTGAAAAAATACATTTGGTATAGATGGACAATTATTATTCATGACTTTTGATCACACTTTCAAGATAACGTTAATCTTTTTTTACAAAAACATTTCAAATATCACAAAAAGAGCCATTTCTGCATATTAAACTTCAATTATTTCAGTAACCTGACGTGCTAGTGAAATTTAACTTGCGGTATCGTTTTCAGCACCCAAAAATCTATAAAAAAACGCCTTATCCGATTAAAAAAAATGTTTTTTTTGTAAATTGGTATTATATTTGTGGATTTAGCACACATAATTCATGTACCGACACTACGATTTTATCGATAGTAGGTCGAAAATGTAATACGTAGTTCACATCAATTTCTAAAATCGATGTTGGTGCCGCTAGCGTACGGTGACTTCGCCTGTCACACGCGAAAAAGGCCGTCATACATGTGGTAATTATTTAAAATCACTTTTTTAGCTCAAATTTGAATAAAAAATATATTCATTCGACGCGTTTTCATTCAAAACAAAAGAATTTGACAAGAAAACGCGGCGATTTGCCTCGTAAAAAACAAATTATTAAAAGTTAAAATTCAAGACTTTAGAGGTTAAGATAACTGTCATTTGACCAAAAAGTCAAAAACGTGAGTTTCACTATACATTTGTTTATTTAAATAATCAGGTAATATTATTAATTTTATTTAACGCGCGAATGAAATAATACATTATATATGAAATATTTGTAACATTTTTCAAAATTTATAGGAATTTGGACAACAACGAACGAAGTTGTGTTTATTATAGTTACACCATCTACTAGAAATGTTGGATTTAAACTTTGATCCATGTAAAAAAAAAATTAAAAAGGTATAAATTTTAAAGAACAAGTTATACTTTGGTCTAAAACAAATCCTTTCCTTTAAAAACAAATTCACTACTTTAAAATACAAATTTTGACTGCTTTAAAAGTTTTCTCATGTTATTTTGTGTATCTTTAAAACAGAGAATTTGTTTTTAAAGCATTGAATTTCTATTGATTTGTATTTTTAAAGTTGTGAATTTGTATATTAAAGCAGAGAATATTTATTTTTAGGAATTAATTGATGTGGAGTACGTCTTATATATATATATATATATATATATATATATATACACAGCACTGTATCAAGTTAACATGATGGATATCTTAACCTCTAAAGTCTCGAACTTTAACGCTTAATAACTTGTTTCGCGAAACAGATTGTCAAATTTTTCTGCCAGATTCTTTCGTTTTAAATGAAAACGTAAGCATCGACTATAGTGTTGCTCGTGTAAAATACTCCACATTTGAAATTGTTTCATGTGTGGAATTCTACATTTGAAAATCCGAAGAATATAAATTATTTTTTAACGAAATAATTTATTATTTAATATTTTGAATGAAAGTTGATTAACATTTCCTGTACGTGCATGCGTGCGTGCGTGCACAATATTTATATTTAATCTATGAATTATTTGTTCCTATTTTCTATATTTTCTTATCTTATGCTTGTTGTTCTGACACATTATGCATATTAAATTTGTGTTTTTATAGATCGGGTGATAACAATGAGGTAAAATATTCCCTGGAAGTTGAAGAGTTAGAGAAGAGTGTGCCATGACTTGTCTAGGAACGTTGGTATTTGCAGACAAACATTCTCGACGATTATCAACTTTGGATGATTCATCTAAGAAGCAAAATGATTCATTGTCACTTGCATATGAAGATCTTTTCATCATACCATATAATATTATACAAGATTTTAGTTTCACTGTACAACATTTAGATATCAGTAATAACATGTTCAGTAGGTAAGCCGTTATCTGGCACGAGTATAGCATGTAATAAGATTTGTGAGGAGATAAAATTGTAATTGCTACGTAATACAGGCAGTGAGAATAAGATAAATTGCTTTGGCATTTCAGAAATTTGCAGTTTTTATTGGAGTTCGATAATTTGAAGTCTGTCAACTTAGATCATAATAAAATAGATGACTTCACTGTATTTCCAAACATGCCAAACCTTGAGCTTCTCTGGTTGAATCATAACCATATAAAAAATCTATATCCCTTTATCAAGAATCTTCATAGAAGCGTACCAAACCTTAAATACCTGTGCCTTATGGGAAATGTGGCAGCACCTAGTTATCTTAATGGTGGAGATTTCTGTGATTATTTTCGATACAGGTATATTAGAAAATATTTCCCTTAATTTTATATTATAATTTATACATATATAAAATTTTTTATTTGAAGTACTCATTATAACTGTCAAACTTTTAAATAGGTTGTATGTGCTATCTTGGTTCCCACATTTGGTGCACTTGGACGACAGAACTGTAACCAAGCAACAACTATTCCAAGCTAAGAAACTATTTAAACATTCATTGCTTGAAAACTTTGTTATGCCAGAATACATTAAGGATCTGCATAATATAGTAACTATATATTCCAAGTCACCAATGTTTGACAGACAAAGAGTACTGAATGAATCAAATTTGATTATCTAAACGATATAGTGCAGCATGAAGAAGATTTTGACAACAAAGTTCTTTCAACAAAAAAATGAGATTCCAATACTCTATTCATTAGAAATATGTGTTCATTACAAAGACATTTTGTAGGAAAACATTTCTACAAAATATAACGTATACAAGTTGTACGCAAAAATGACTATTAAACACGTTATATTTAATAATCATTTTTGCAATATTATAGGAATGCAGCTATATATGAACAAGTTATTTATATTTTTAATACAAATATGCCTACAATGCTTTTAAAATCAGTTTTAAATTGTGCATTCTGCTTGCATTTTTATGTATATGTCTTACTAAAATTAGATATTTGTGTCTCTTTTATATATAAATTTTTAATAGGACCCCCTCAATTGTATATAGACCTTTGTGTATGTTAAATATTATTTTGTACTTTTATGACACACATAATGTATGTATTTCAGATACATAATTATATATATATATACATATAATTATATTTGTGTACAAAGCCTTTCTTAAATAGCGAATATTAATCACATAGTGCTATTCCTGATCAAAAATTGAGGAATTCTGAGCCATTTTTTTACAATGTTTAATACAGCAGATATTGTAAAATAAAACTGATCTTATCCAATTGTTGTTCGCGCGCGCACCGTTTTAAACAGCCGGCCACATTTCCCTAATCTACACGCTTAGTAATTGGCATGTGCGCTATATATGCCGCTGTCTTTATCGATATCGCACAATGTACGGATTATAATAATGCGAAAAAATTTCTTTAGCAATAAAAATCAAATTCATTACGTTAAAAACAACTTTTTTAGGAAAGCAAGGGACAGCATTCTTTAAACGTATCAGATTACGACGTACATAAAAAACAATATTTTTGCGTAGAAATTGTTTCAAAATCTTTCTTTATAAATTTAAAACTCTGTGCGTCTCTTTTTGCATAGAACAGAAATAATATTTTTATTGTATGTTTTTTAATTGAACTGTATTTTAAATTATTACTTCTACAATTTTTTTCATAAAATTTTTACTCTATACCTATCTAATAGATAGTTCTATGGATGCAAAATGCAAGCATAATACATAAAGATAACTTGATATATTATTTTAAAAAATTCATAACTTAAAAAGTTTGTACAGAAAATATATAGAAGACTGAATATTAAAAAGACTGAAAATAATATAAAATTTTAAATTATCAAAATTTGGAGATTTGAATAATTAGAAGAAATTAAGTCCGTTTTATGTTAATTTATTTTTTTAAGCAATTTTATGCCTTTTCAGAAACTTTTGCGTTAACTTAAATTTTAATTATTTAATTATAATAATTTTCTTGCGAATAAATAGTTTTATCTAGAAATCATGAATTTTCTATTGAAAAACGTATTGTAACTATTACACAATCATAATCAAATAAGTTCATGTTCAAACTAGAATTTTAGACGTTTGCTCGAAATGCAAGAGATCCGGGTTTGACTCCCGGCCAAGAGGTATTACTTTTCGTAATAAGAATTAATTATTTAAAGATTTTAATATGTCATTCAACATTATTAAAATCAATCTAAGATATGTAAAGAGATATAAAAATTTATTAAATTGTTAGTTAATTTAATTTGTGATATATTAGTGCGGTACTTTTTTTTTATATACTGTTCTAAGTATTTTAATGCGAAAATTAAAATAGAACATCCTGTATATATATGTACATATACAGATGTTCAGCGTAACGGTGCGTACGATTTTTTAAATACTTCCGAGCGTCAAAAGGTGAATATTTATTTGTCTCATGCAAGTTCCATAACATGTAATAAAAAATTTAAAAATAGTTTCTCAATAACAAAATGCCATCTTTAATTTTTTAAATAGCACCATGGCCGGCCCATATCCATTTTTTCATAATATTATACAGATCATCAAGACAAATTCAACGAACTATCGAGAATATCATCTTCATTAATGTTTTATTGAAGAAAATCGTGTAAACATCACAATCGATGATATAAATTAAACGAATATATAATGGTAAAACTGGTCATTATATATATATTGTATATATATATTTTTTCACCGAGTTATTCAACGTTGAAGCAAAAGAGTCATTTTTGCAAATTCAGAGAGAGTCGTAATAAACTGCCGCGGTTATTTCTTTTTGCTACGGAAATCCTGGCTGCTCTCATTTTTGTAAGTCGTATGCATTTCTCCCATGTAGATGCCGAAATGTTGCGGGCGAGAGCGAGCGCACCGGACGCTGATTCGGGAGTATACCCGTACAGTTGACTTCGAGCCGTGGGTATTCGAGTTTAATAAGTACGAATAAGCGAAGACCCAGGTATACCATCCGGTACCCGCGAATCATCGGGACCTGCCGCCAGGAAATGTGGAACAGCCTCGGAAGAAGCCGAGGATGATCGCCATTCAAGACGCTACGGGGGCGGTCGAAATATACTCAAGAGCGATGATTCGTCATTTACAATATATATTAACAGAATCCCCAAATAACCAATAAACAAAAGATATTGCTTAACGTAGCGCATTTTATTTGTTGTTTTTTTTTTCTTTCTTATGCCTATAATCCCTATAAACTTTAATACCTATTCATAATTGCGAACGAGAATCTTATAAAAGAACACACGCCCCGCATCCGGGCGATTCATTGGCACCATTGTAATCATCGTCAGGGCTGGGTTAAGGGGAAGGCTAAGGGGGCTATAGCCCTGGGCCCCGTCTTTTTAGGGGGCCCCTTAGCTTAAAATTGTATTTATTGATGAAAGTAAATAATCAAATACAAATAAATAATTAAAAATATTACAATTAATTTTGCATTCCTCGTACAATGAAACATCGTGTACAGACAATATTCAATAAAAGAAAGTACAATGAGGAATATAAATTAGCTTGTCCAGATGTAGAAATTAATGAATTTGCGTGCACTAAACCAAGAAAAAAAATTTTGTAAGTGCTACAACTTTAATAAAATGTGAATTATCTTCATGTATTTATTCTTCAACATCCAGAACTTACTTGTATCTTTTAAGCAGAATTAAAACGACTCCAATTACAAAATCATACGAACAACCACGTTTCTTAAATAGAAATTGCAAAGTATATATGTTTTTTGCATTTTATTTATTCAATATCTATTATTCAATAAATAATTTCTATTGAAAATAGGTATTTATTATCTATACTAGATTATAAAACTGCAATTCTTATGAATGAAGGTGGTTCCGTCTTAACATTAGCCCATGGACCACAAATACGTCAAACCGTCTCTGGTCATTGTCGGTAGAATTATTTAATAAGTTGTACAAATCTTCATGAAGATACTAGAAAAGACACAAAATAGTCAATTTAATATCGACATATCTATGACAGAATAATAAGTTTGTTTGCCTTGCTTACACTGCTTATACTTTTACACTTAAAATGAGATAAATATATATCAATAATCTTTGATAGCTGAGAAATATATACAGTACCATTATTTCAGAAATTATTTTGCACTTCTATCTTTTATGTGATACATCGAACATATGTATATCTCAGTTTTTGCTGCATATTTTACAGGTTTTAGAATTACGAAATTGTGTTTAAAAAAAAACTAAAAGATAAAACTATACATAGTGTCAGTGTTATACATGCTATATATGTATACATATATTACTTTTATTAACGTTTGAACAAAAAATACTGCAAAAGTACATTTTCAGACTAATTTTTAAAAAGAAACGGAAAAGTAACGAAAAGTTACCTTTCGAGTAACGGTAACTGTAATGAGTTACTTTTAAAAAGCGATAATTAGTAACGGTAACTCGTCACTTTTTTAACTCTATTAACGAGTAACTGTAACTTATTAATTTTAAAAAGAGTAACTTTCCATTTCCTGATATATATTGGACGTTGTGCGTGCGTGCGTGCGTGCGTGTGGGTGAAGAGAAAAAAGACGAAGACGCTTAGTGTAAAAAATGTAAATAAGGCGAACAAACTTACTTTCACAAACTCTCTATGACAAATATATCTTTGTAATGCAAGTAATCGGAAAAAGATATCGTTATATGCTTGCTTTCTATTCTACTGAACTTGATGTACTTGTGAAGAACAGGAAATGCATAAATCATAATTTTGTGGTTTACTGATACCACTAATCTATTGTATTCAACTATATTGCTTATTTTAGTGACGTTGTTTTAAAAATTATGTTATTTATTTATTAAATTATATGATTAAGCAAGAAAGAAAATGCAAAAAAACACACAAATAATTCTTGTCTATACATACAGTCTTAAATGATGATTTTATTGGATCTTCATTGCTCGAAGGCATCCATATCAGGACATTGGACTTACGAGAACTTGCCGTTGCAAGGATAGGAATATGGGGATGACCTAAGCAACGATGATCAATCACCTATACATTAAATGAATAAAAGTTATTTTGTGCAACACATACAATGAAAAGAAAAATTTGTTTATCAAATGCACAAAATGAAAACACTTAACGAATTTGTAATCTTCTAACAACCACTGTAGCGCAGTTTTTTTTTCTTGTCAAAAATGAATATATCACCCCAACAGGATGCACATATAATAAATTCACTTTTAGGTCCGAAAAAATTGATATCCCATACAACTGCAATCATAACACATAACTGAGACAACTTAATATCAACTATTAATAAATCAGAATTATTTAAAGCGTCGCTTTTTCAATTACATAGACGAAAATAAAAATATAAAAGATGTAATAAAAAAATTTTTAAACAATAATCTCAGAATAAAAATTAATTAACAAATAAACCATTGAATAATGTTACTGTATGCTTCTTCTCTTTTGAAATATACATAAAATAAAGAGTTTTAAGAATAAAAAAAAAAGTAAAATGCCGGGAATATAATAATCATGTAATTACAATAAGTACGTCCCTTGTCCATCTCACCAGGTACAGAACTAAATTGAGAGCGGTCATATAATGTGTGATTCGAATTTCCTTCACATGACCACATTGATTTCTCAAATAATAATACTTCGGAGTAATTACACAATGTGAGTATCTCTGTCCCATCGTGATTATACTTGGTTCCTATTGCAAAGGCGTCATGATTCTTCTAATACATTTAAATTACATATGTATGTAATTAAAACTCATGTAAAAAACATAAACAATGTAGTATTTCTTTAAATATTGATAAACTTTTCAGCAATAGGGTTGAATCAAACTAATACATACCTTGTTATACTTGGTGGTCCACAATTGATAAAGTGGTTTCGAAATATTTCGCTGATCATACACCCTTACGCAGGGAAAATCACCGCCGACACAAAATTCATAACTATTAGAAGGATTACAATGTATACTTCTTATTCTACCATTTCCGAGGCTCTTTATATCAAGCAATCTATGGATATAAACATAAATGTATATATTATAATGGATATATATAACATGTGTATTACAGAACAAAAATAAACACTTTTATCATGTAAACTCAAAATTTATTAATATAACTATAGGCACCGCGGTATATGTAAGCAATTAAAGATCCATGCTAGACTGTTGTAGGCTTCGTGTTTGTATTAGTTATGTTCTTTATATTAACGGTCTTTAGTATTGAATATTGTCAAAATTTAGTATTGCGTCTATGTAGAATTTAATCGACTTATGCTCATTTCTACTAATTAACGTAGATTAAATTTTATTTTGTTTTAACTTTTTTTGTTATAATGGTCCAACCTGGATCTTTTATGCCAGCATATCCTATTTTCTGTTTGAGTTTCAAATGTACGATTCGATAAGATACTTATCACTTTTTCTAGTCCAAAGTATAAGTTGAACCAAAATTAAAATTAATCTACATTTTAAAAATAGGCACTAGCTCCGGTGCAAACAATATAAGTAAATTTCGGTTTAACATATTGTTCATGTTTTTCTAATTCTTGGAATTAAAAAAACAGAAACAATTAGGGAAAGATTAACAGTAAGTTGAACCGAAATAAATCAATATTACTTTGGTTGAACCCCGGGCTATATCATCGGGTCATAACGATCCAGTCATCTTTCAATCACAATAAGATTGATTCGCATATAAGTACACAGGACGATCCCGTGCTACACTTAACGCCAGACGCAATGGTCGCGTTCAGCAGACTCAACAGTTTTATAACTATTTTATGACTCTTCGTTGAGATAGGACTATTTCTTTGGAATCTAAAAGTATAATCCAATCATCGAGACGAATTATAAAACGGTTGCAAAACTGTTGAATCTTCTGAACGCAGCCAATACAACGATTTTTGGTACAAAAAAAATTTATATTATATGTAGATATTCTGCATGATATAAATAAAGAATATATAAGAAACATTATTACATATGAACTTTTTAATAACAATGACTTACTTTGGTGTATCCTCCCGGATATCCATGGACAAAATCGAATCGTTATAAGCAGAAAACACGACATAGGGTATTTCAGGATGCACAGCCAATGCACAGACATTTGTCTGATATATACGGGTCGGATGAAATAATGAATCATAGTTCATCAACTGGCTCGATGAGTTGTATTCAAGATCTAATAAACGCATATTATGTATATAAGCTTCGGAACCAGAAGTGACCATAAAATTTTCTACATCTAAAGGCAGCCATTTGGCCTAAACACATATACGATTAAATTAAAAAGATTAATAAAAAAATTTAATTAAATCAGAATAACTATTACAAAACATTCAAATAGCAATACTTTATTATACATACATCATCAAGGCTGTTATGGCCATTTGGAATGCAACAACGCTTTTTCCTTGCAGCCCAATCCCAAATAGAAACTTTCTTATGAGAGGCTCTTGCTAATGAATTTTCTTTTTGATTGAAATTTAAGGCCCTCACAGTATAATCCTATAAATAATAACCAAATTTTAATACATATCACTATAAATAATTTAAAAAATCTATAAAAATTACCTAAAAGTAATGTATAAAACATTGTATATATAATAAGTCAACATGTAACAAAATAAATAATTTACCTCAGAATCACAGAGTTTGTACTTAAACTCCAGTCGATTTACTGCATGTAAAGAACTATAAAATCTTCTTTGGAATAACGGATTACTACCTATTTATCGATTTATTACTTCCTGCACCATGAACCAATTAGGAGGCGGTTTCTTTGTTTCTAAGTTAACATGTTTTCTTCTTTTTCTTTTTCTACTATTACTACTGCTTCTGCTTCCTTTTCTTTGTTCAATTCATTCATGTTAGCAACAAAATATTCATTCGAGTCAGCTGTGAAAAATTTAGAATTTAAAATTTTATCAAAAAAGTAATGCAAAATTTATATGTAAATTTACATATATATAAATTTTGCATTAATTTTTTGATAAAATTTTAAATTCTAAATATATATATTATATTATATATATGCGTGCGTGCGTGCGTGCGTGCGTGCATACGAGCGCAGAATGCCGCAACTTGTAATAATGAGAAAAGTTTCGACGACTGTCTTTTGACCAAGCTTTATTTCAACGGTATTACAAGCAAACTTACAGAATAGCGAGCTAAGGTTGATGACGAGAGTACGTCTTACAAAATTAGACTAACTCGAACTGAGCTAGAAGGATCCTTTTATTGACTAAAGAGGTGGAGTCTTCTATCAGCTCCAACCAATAACGTAAGATTTTAAAATACCAAAAATATACGTAAAAGGGCCGGTAGGGAAAAACTGGACAAAGTGACGATGACTCAAGAGTCCGTTAAAGATGAGTCACAGAATAAGTTCGTTAGACATATAGCCCTTTGTTGTCTATAATTCTAAAAACATCATAAAACTGAAAATATTCAAAAGAGGTTTTCAAAAGGGAAATATTCAAAAGGGTCAAATTAAAAGGAAAATAAAAGGACAAAAAGGAAAGGAAAGCAATTTGTGAAAGTAATAAAATAATAGTAGGGAACAAGGTTTATTAAGAAGATTTAGGGAAAAATCTGTTGAAATTTTCTATGCATTAAAACGTGACAACGGTTACGTTGGACGTAACAGATGCGTGCGTGTGAAACCTTAAAAAATATAGGTATATATATATATATATCCTTTATTTTCTATTGTTTTTAATACACAAATAGTAAATACACATAATAACATTTCTGTACAATTACTTTACAAGAAATAAGCTTGCATGTACAATTACAATTACTTTAGTAATTATACATGCAAGCTTAATTCTTGCATGCAGAAGTGTAGCCGTATACTTTTACAAATAAGATTATACGATAATAACAATTTATAAATATGAAAAATTATAATGTAGAAAAATTCATAATAAGAAAACGATAATTTTAGAATAAAGGTAATATCAATCAAGGAAACACATTTTTTTTAAATAGGTATATATAAAAAAATAAGTTATTACATTGAAAATGAACCGAAAATTTTAGGAAATGAAAAAGTCACGAGTTTATAACTATTGTATTATTTTATCGTGTAAAAAAATGCAAAATTAAAAAAAAATTAATTCGAAAAAAATAGAAGGAAAAATTTGCCCACGATCAAATTAGTCTTAAAAATCATCAAATAAATCTAAGTTTTTATCAGAATTCATTTAAAAAAATTAAACGTGTCATACTTTAAAAAATTAATAATTTTTTACACTAAATTAAAAAAAAATTAAAAAACTATTTTGAAATTTTTCTTGTCATTTTTTTTGAAAACTAGAGAAAAAAACACAATTTAAAAAAAAACGTTTTATTTGTATTATTTTTCGCAAAGTTATAGGCATTTGAAGATTGCGAATTTTGAAAAACGCGAGTTTTAAAAAAAATTCATATTTCATGACTATGTTCAAAAACATCATGGTAGCTTCTTGCGATACTATAATATATCAAAGTTTCAGCCAAATCAAAAATACAAAAGTTTTTGAGTGGCTCACTTGGTGTGGAATGCCCCATTATATGTATAATACGATCCTTTAATTGACTTGTGCAAGTCATGATTCCAATCACTAGATAATAAGACATTTTATATTTATTTGAAACAATTGCTTCTTTCTGTAAAATTTCCAAAACCAAATAAGCGAAGTAATTTAAAAATAACTGCGGTCAATATAAGAATCAGCTTCGTGCTACAGATGTGAGAGTCTGAATATGATTAACTCCTGTCCATGAATATTTCTTCCGAACATATAAGCTAGTAAATATATAAAAAATACATCATTTGCAAATCTGTGTCTTTTGCACAACAGAGTCACATCATTGTGACCGTTATTTTCAAATCATTTTAATGATGTATCAATACTAATCTTTCTTCGATTCTCTCCGTTATTTCATTGATGTAAATTATAATCTATTTTCAGCATACACTCACAATTAGCCGTTGGGTGAACACTCGCTACTATTAAAATGCTATTCTAAATCTAAATATCTAATTGAATGATTTGAGAGAATAACAGCGAGTACTCAACCGTTGAGACTACAGAATAGAGCCATTATTGGCATTATTGGTCCACTGATCAAAAAAATACAAATGTATTATACATATCAATAGCACAGAACAAATTATCACCAACAACATAGCGTTGAATTATATACGTACTAAGCAGAGGATAACTATAATTAAATACTTCTTTTTTCATTCTCTAATATTTCTCTTGTTGCACGTAATTTTAAAAAAAGCAACAAAAATAATGTCAATAAGATGTTATTTTCATAAATTAAAGTAAAAATTTGTATGAACCTTGTGTGCGTACGTATGTGCGTGTGTGTGTCGGTGATTTTTTCTAAAATCGGCATGACATTTTGTTCTAAAAAAATCTCTGATATAGAAAATTAGATACAATATAAAGGCTAAAAGCCAAAAATACATATATTTAGATCAACAACAAAAAGAACATAATAAGTACACATAGCCAATTATTAAACAAGCATTTTATAAACAAAACAATCTCTGATATTGTTTATAATCCGGGAATGCTTTCTAAGGAAATAAATCGGCCCCTATATACATTTTGATTTACCTTAAAAAAAAAACCCTATAGCTATAACTACCAATTTCAATTCTTACATATTTTGTAAAATAAATTAATACCACGGTTAGATTTGATTATTTGCTATAAAGATAAACAGAAAATACGGGTTGTTCAATCTTCCTAAAATACATTTTTGAGGAATTTAACGATTTCGGAGACTATTGTGCAAAGTGTCGATTATCGTAAGCAACATCAATTTCTATACATACGTAGGCATGTATGTATAGATACACGTATAAAGGTATACACACACTTAAAGATCTTTGATTATTTGTTCCAAAGATTTTGACTAGCATATTTGTCAACAAACAATTTTAAATTAAACCGTATCCTTTGTTCTTGATCCATATATCTAAACTATAACTAGTGCATTAAAAGTTGTCTAATAATCAATACGTTTAATGTAGCTAACTAAAGTCAGAGAAGGTGTCACCATAATTTTAAATATTTCATGTTTTATAATTAATTCTAACTGTGGCACAGTTTTCTGTTTATTACTTCCTTATTGCTCTTCGTGATAGCTGTCAGATTATTATCATCCTATTGCATTATTAAGTAGTTATTCTTTTTTACGATTTTAGATTTTGGAAAAGTTAAAAGCAATAGTGTCCAAATATATTTAGAACGTGCAAACTACGTTAGCAATATAAGGAGCGTTACACAAAGTAAAGTGAAAAATACTTAGACTTGGTGAGTCTAAGAGTTAAATCTGAAAGGATGAATAAACAAGAAGTAACGAATAACGACACAAAAGTAAATGATCAAAATTGCGGTAAGACTTATACAGTTCCTAATAAATATTCTTAATTTTATTAATACTTTGGTGCATTACAGATTTCTCAACAAACTTAAAGCATTAGTACATGATCAACCATGCTAAAATAGGCACATTTCGATGTAGAATAACTGTCTATAATCATCTTAACGATATTCAGAAAAACATTTTAAAACTTCAAATCTGTAATCTTCAGACCCCAGTACTAGAAAAAATGGGTTTATTGATATTTTTAAAATTACATAATTATTAATAAAGGTGCATCAGATTTCAAAATTTTTAACGATATTTGCGAAGTTTATCATTACGATTTAAAAATTGTGTACTGACGCGGATTATAGCACTTGTAAAAATAAATCTTGGCCAGTAAATAGCCGTTCATTCGAGTTCTATACTACTTTCTTTGATCGAGTTAATCAACGTTGATGTAAAAATGAAATTTCTTGCTTCAACATTGAATAAATCATTGAAAAAAATCGTATAAACGTCAAAGAGAAATCAAATTATTTATATTAAAAAACGATTCAATCTTTCAGAAGTTGTAAACCTCATATGTGCATAATTTTTATTCAATGCCGTGCAACTTCACAAATTTCGTATAAAACTTTAAGATTCGATGCATCATTATTTATGATGTCGTAACTGTATGAAATTTCAGTAGGACAGGTTTTATTGAAGTACTATTATCAAAAATAAGTATTTCAAGATTAAAAATGCTTTTTTAAACGTTTCAATAAAATGATTTTTCACAAACGTTATTCTATTTCGAAATCTGCCTGTTCTTGCAGGTGATGCTCTAGTTATGTTAAATAGTGTATTTTAAAAATTATCAGGTTTAGATAACCGTTTTCTCTCTCATGTTTTCATAACAACCGTTTTCTTAATATTAAGATGAGTGCTCTGACTCCCGGATAAATTTGAATCAGAATGACGTAGACACACATTCTGAAATAACCTTTCATTACCAATGCGGAATATGTGATAAAGTGTATTCGGATATATCGTCATTCTTTGAACATGAAGGAATTCATCTAGTCGAAGAACCTTATCAATTCGAAGTTTGTAAAAAAACATTTTCGTAAGTATTAAAGCGAGGAACAAGAACTAGAAAAATTATTTAGCAATTCAATATCAATGATTAAATTAATTGGAAAAGTTATAAATATCGAAACGGTCATTTTACAGGCGAAAAGGTACCCTACAAATTCATGAAAGAATTCATCGAGACGAAAAACCTTATCAATGCGAAGTTTGTAAAAAAACATTTTCGTGAGTATTAAAGCGAGGAACAAGAACTAGAAAAATTATTTAGCAATTCAATATCAATGATTAAATTAATTGGAAAAGTTATAAATATCGAAACGGTCATTTTACAGGCGAAAAGGTACCCTACAAATTCATGAAAGAATTCATCGAGACGAAAAACCTTATGAATGCGAAGTTTGTAAAAAAACATTTTCGTGAGTATTAAAGCGAGGAACAAGAACTAGAAAAATTATTTAGCAATTCAATATCAATGATTAAATTAATTGGAAAAGTTATAAATATTGAAACGGTCATTTTACAGGCGAAAAGGTACCCTACAAATTCATGAAAGAATTCATCGAGACGAAAAACCTTATGAATGCGAAGTATGTAAAAAAACATTTTCGTGAGTATTAAAGCGAGGAACAAGAACTAGAAAAATTATTTAGCAATTCAATATAAATGATTAAATTAATTGGAAAAGTTATAAATATTGAAACGGTTATTTTACAGGCGAAAAGATCACCTACGAGTTCATGAAAGAATTCATCGAGACGAGAAACCTTATCAATGCGAATTTTGTGAAAAAACATTTTCGTAAGTATTAAAGCGAGGAACAAGAACTAGAAAAATTATTTAGCAATTCAATATAAATGATTAAATTAATTGGAAAAGTTATAAATATTGAAACGGTTATTTTACAGGCGAAAAGATCACCTACGAGTTCATGAAAGAATTCATCGAGACGAAAAACCTTATCAATGCGAAATTTGTAAAAATACATTTTCGTAAGTATTAAAGCGAGGAACAAGAACTAGAAAAATTATTTAGCAATTCAATATGAATGATTAAATTAATTGGAAAAGTTATAAATATTGAAACGGTCATTTTGCAGGCGAAAAGATACCCTACGAATTCATGAAGGAATTCATCGAGACGAAAAACCTTATCAATGCGAATTTTGTAAAAAAACATTTTTGTAAGTATTAAAGCGAGGAACAAAAACTAGAGAAATTATTTAGCAATTCAATATCAATGATTAAATTAATTGGAAAAGTTATAAATATTGAAACGGTCATTTTGCAGGCTAAAACATAACCTACGAATTCATGAGAGAATTCATAACGGCGAATGTCCTTATAAATGTGAGCTTTGTGGAAGAATGTTTAAGTGAGTACTTCATTGAATAGCAACAGAATCAAATGAATTAATTCATAAATTCTTCTAATATAAATAAATTAAGTAACAAATGAAAAATATTGCTACGGAAAATTTACAGTCAGGTATCGAGTTTCTATCGCCACAAAAGGCTGATTCATGGTAATAATTAATGTTTTTACAAATCTAAAAGTATAAGAAAAATTCCCAGACTGAATGGTACCAGGTTTACCATATAGACGGAGTACATAGACAAATGACACCATCCTTGTGTGGTACGTGCCATAAAATTATTGTTTTTCTAATTATTTATCACTTGACTGCTTTTGTCCCTACGTTTCACTACATTAATTATAAATATGTTAATTTTTTGTTAGCAGTGATATCTTTGTTAACAAATCTCAACAGTCACAATTCTATATATATTTTTAAAATCACACTGTATCGTACGTAGATCTTTAAACAAATTCAGAGTTTTATGTACACAACTTAAATTAGGTCGTTCATAAAAAAATTATTTAATACATTGCCATATTCTTAATATTTGTTTTCATATATTTCTGGTACATCAACTAATAATATTTCTATCTTGTTTAAATATATGTCGGCATGCGTCAATATAACAAGGAGCCTATAATTTAAACGTCAAAACTTCTGGAGTGCTTAGGATTAATAAACTAAGAAAAAAGGGTATGTAAAAATATTCTCGTTTTCGCTATATTTTGGAGAAAATTATATACAGGAAATGATGTTTCTATTTCAATCTTGAACGTGAAGTAGTATTGTCTTGATCATCCCAACCATCACTCTTCATACCATAGAATTTCTTTGTGCAAAGGTGCCTAATGCACGGAATTAATTCGTTGTCAATTAACTTACGCCTACAATAGAAAGATCAAATCGAAGCTGCTGTACATTATATGTCAAAAATTGAGTGTCTGGCGGCAAGACAGGCTGTCCGTACTGACGATATGCTTGCATTTCTGAAACAAGCTAAAATTTTAAATAATATCTACAGTGACCAATTGTATAAATCTTGTATAAATAAGTTATAAGAGAGTACGATGACGACAAACTACATTTTGCGTCTTTCACGACTTTAAATAAAACGATATATAAACGAGGATATCCTTATAAAATATTTTTCGTAGTTTGTCGATCATTTACTCGTTACTGTAATTTTGACATTTAAAATCCATACACTCTAAAGGAATAATTATTTATTTTTTAGAATCGAACATTGCAACTACAATGCCATATTAACAAACTACGATTGAAAAATGGATAAACAATCATACAATTATATTTAATCTCAATAACAGTAATGATGAAGCAACGATGCGAAATAAATCGCGAATTCAGATATGTTTTCTATACATATACTTTTATAGATAGGAGATTTCTAGTAGATATAATTTTTATACCAGATACTTTAATGGACATTGTTTTATATATATAAGTTTCATATTTTTAAGCGCATATTATTTCATATTGAGTAACTTTTAGCCCCTTAGTCGAAATCGAACTGATATTGATTGATCCTTTATCCATATAACTTTATGTAGAGTACATTTGTGTTATTAATATAAAAAGAAAAACAATATTTTACCAACGCTTTATCGATGAAAACTTTTTCAAAAATTTATTACAATGAAATTTACCAGTTATTATGTCAACCTGTTTTAAAAATCAAATTCTTTCAAACCGGATTGGCAACTGAGAATGTATTAGGCATATTCTAGAAATTCAAATGTACCCTATTAGCAACAACTTAATAAAATTTTTAATATTATCTAATACAGTATATTCTTGCACTATTAATGGATGATTATACGTTTTACCCTGATAATATTATATTTAATTATTTAAAATCTTTATTATTATTTAGATTAACTGTAATTTAATAAGGACATTAAAATTAATTTTAGCAACACTGACTAAGACCATTTTATTACTAAATTGTGCATAAAAATTGCAGTAATAAAAATGACTACGATATTGTATGTATATGTAACATTTAGCGATATTATGAAAAGAATATGATAAATATTACATAAAAGAACGTATAACATCCATAGAAAATAGTCTCACTATTTTAAAAAGTATAAAATATTACCGAAATAATATGTAATACTTATTTTAACTCTTATAAATTATGTTTATGTGACACTTTGGGATCATTTTGTGCCTATAAGAGTTGACTTGTAAAGTTGATAAAGCGCTTAAGATAAGAAACATTCCAACTCTTACTATCTATTTCTTTATATATATAAATAACTTTAATGTTTTTAAAACACGCTGACACGCTCTTGCAGTTGCAGTGACATTGTCGTTTTAGTATTGAAACGGAAACAATTGGATGTTGTTCTTTTATATGTGTCATGTATACAAAGTACATGAAAATATCGCTATTTTCTTTACAGATCTCAAATTAGGATCGATATTTTAATTAGAAACGAGATTGCAATGATGAAACTTGAAACTGAGCTTATATGAAAAAACGTCATACGATTTTTCAACTTTTAATTTGAAATAGATGAAATCGTGAGATGAACTCAATTGTCGTAAACATTTGTCATGTAATTACGTGAATC